TGAGCAGGGGAAGATGTTTTTGTGACACTGACAATGGTCAGCAGTCAGTTATAACCATGTTTTTTGTTCCTAGAGAGGTGTTAAAAGAAATTTCATTGCAGGTTTCTTTTTCTCTAACACTTTCACCAAACATGATATATCCTAGCATGCATTTTTGCTTTGGGGGGGATTTATTTGCTTCAAGGTCTTCTAGAACTTGTAGCCAACGCTCCATTTATAATTTGGGTTATAATTTTTTTTTTTCAGCTCAGTGGTACTTCTTGGAGGAATGATACTATACCCTATGAGGAGTGATACTGTACCCTATTGAGAAGGAATTTAGAAATTCTATTCAAAGCATTAAATGCGGAGCTTCTATGATAAAGTTGGATGAACTGAAGAAAATGAGAAAAGGGAGAGAGCAGTAACATACAGAGAAAATGAAACTGATGAGAATGATGGACCAAATCAGCTTTTAGAAGGAATGCAAGGGAGTAAGAGTGTCTAGTTAATGATCCCAGAATTTTAGATTTTGCCCTCCTCCTCAGTGATCTTTCTTCCTAGATTCAGCACAGTCGATTTTTCATTTTTTTAAAAAAGATTTTAAGTAATCTCTACACCTAACAGGGGTGCTCAAACTCACAACCCCAAGATCAAGAGTCACGCGCTCTGCCAACTGAGCCAGCCAGGTGCCCCACGATTTGTAATTTTAATTCATCTCTCAAGATATGTCCACAAACTCTCCATCACTACCACTACCAGGTTAGTGTTTTATTACAGATACTCAGCACTGTTCTTTTTCACCATCTAAGTAATGGCTGACTTCACTGGACCAAGCAGCACAGAATACCACACCACATGTCCCCCGGTTCTTCTGTAAGTGCCACTAATGTACCCATCCCACCAAACAGGCATCTAACACACATAATTCACAACTTAGCCTAATTTACATTACCTCAGTGGCTCGACAATTACACCGTGTGAACAAAAATCACAAATTTCAGTCAAGCCCAGGGAAGATATTTGTGTTTTCTTATCTCCACAATTTCCATCATGAAAATTTAGCCTAAAGAAAGAGAAATAGCCTAATTGGGTTTGTTTTGCATGTTGGTCTTAAGTAAGCAAGAGATGGAAGCCCACAATCAGCTTTATCTCCCGCTCAACGATGCTCATGTTTCCATTTCCTGTCTTTGGACGTTTCCCAAGTATGCTCTTCAACTGACAACCTCTCTGTGACTGGTTCCTCTAACTTTAGCCCTGACCTCTCTTAAGCTCCAGGTTCACATCTCCAGATGTTTCTTGAATATTTATATATTTTGTATTTCTTTGTCCTCAAACTCAGCATGTCCAAACTCCACGTTCCCTTTCAGATATTTTACTCAACTTCTGAAGGGTATCCTCACTTTTCCATTCTGACTCCTCTTCTATCTTTACCTAGTCCTACTGATTTTTTAAAAAATTCTTTGTGCTCCTTTTTGAACTCATTTTTCTTTCTGTTCCCACAAAAATCACAATAAAGTAGGTTTTTGGCAGCCTCCCAATCAGTATCCCCACCTCCAACTCTACTTTTTCTTTCTTTCTTTTTTTTAAGTAAGCTCTACGCCCAATGTGGGGCTTGGTCTCACAAGCCCCAGATCAAGAGTCACATGCTCTACTAGCTGAGCCAGGTGCCCCTCCTCTTTCTTTTTTATGTGTCTATTTCATTTTGTTAATCTGTTGTTCAAAAAGTCTTTCACTTTTCTGAACCAGGAGCTTCTTCTCTAACCAGCTGGCTCTACTCAGCATTTTCCCTTTCTCCCTTCTCCACCTGCACACCATAAACCCCACTGCTAGAGTACACGTCCTCCTAATTACCACACGTTCAAATCCCGACTGCCTTCAATGGTAGTTCAAGACTCTTCAATGAAGCTGTCACTGTTCTTGAATCTACTATCTGTACACCACTATATTCAGTGCTCAATTGCCAATCACTTTGTACCTGAACTCTCTAAAATTACTTATCTTCCTGGTACGGCTGTAGGAAACATCTCACATGTCTTTGCTGCTTCTGAAACTATCCTGATAATATATTACATTACCAAAAAAATGAGGCATAGTTGGTAAGGAAACATGTTTAGGAAGTAGAAAACTCTGAGTTCAGATTCTGGCTTTGTTCCTTTCTAGGTGAGTGACCTTGGGCAAGTTACTTTACCTCTACAAGCTTTCCTATCTATAAAACAGGGATAATGCCACCTATTTCATAGGGTTTGCTGTGAAGTTTAGCAGAATGTATATATGAATACATAGAATGTTTAACACAGTAACTGGTCCATAGGGAGTGTTTTCTAAAAAGATGGCTGTTATGATTTTGCACACAACAGGTACTCCTTTTTGGTCAATATTTTAAACTGCACAGTCTATAGATTCAGCGAAATCCCTATCAAAATTCCGATGGCATTTTTCACAGAAATAGAACAATTCTAAAATTTGCATGGAACCACAAAAGACTCCAAAAAGCCAAAGGAATCTTGAGAAAGAAGAACAAAGCTGGAGGCATCATGCTCCCCAATTTCAAACTGTATCACAAAGCTACAGTAATCAAAACACTATGGTACTGACATAAAAACAGACACACAGATCAACAGAAGAGAATAAAAAGTTCAGAAATAAACCCAAGCATATATGGTCAATTAATGTATGACAAAGGAGCCAAAAATATACAATGAAGAAAGTACGATCTCCTCAATAAATCATATTGGAAAAACTGGACAGCTGCTGCAAAAGAATTAAACTAGATCACTTTCTTAAATCATAAACAAAAATAAATTCAAAATGGATTAAAGACTTGATTGTAAGACCTGAAACAACATAAAACTCCTAGAAGAAAATATAGGCAGTAACCTCCCTGACACTGGTCTTGGCAATGATTTTTTGGATCCAATACCAAAACCAAAAACAACAAAAGCAAAAATCAGTAAGTGGGACTATATCAAATTAAAAAGCTTCTGTACAGCAAAGGGAAACCACCAACAAAATAAAAAGGCAACTACTGAATGAGACTATTTGCAAGTCATATATCTGATAATATTTACAAGTCATATATATATCAAATACAAGTCAAATAGCAAAAAAACAAGCAATCCAACTGAAAAATAGGCAGAAGACCCGAATACACATTTTCCCAAGGAAAGACAAACAGATGGCCAACAGGTACTTGAAAAGATGCTCAACACCACTAATCATCAGGGAAATGCAAATCAAAACCACAATGAGATATTACCTCCCACCTGTCCAAATGACTATAATCAAAAAGACAAGAAATAACAAATGTTGGAGAGGATATAGAGAAAAAGGAACTGTTGTGCACTGTTTGTGGGAATGTAAATTGGTGTAGCCACTCTGGAAAACAGTATGGAGGTGCCTCAAAAAATTAAAAATAGAACTACCATATGATCCAACAATTCCATCTCTGGGTATTTATCCAAAGAAAACAAAAACACTAGAAGGTATATGCACCCCTACATTCACTGCAGCATTATTTACAATAGCCAAGATATGGAAATAACCTGTATCCATCGATGAATAGATAAAATAGATGTGATACACACACACACACACACACACAATAGAATACCACTTTGCCATAAAAAAGAATGAGATTTTGCCATTGGTGACAACATGGATGGAACTTAAAGCATTTTGCTAAGTGAAATAAATCAGAGAGAGAAAGAGAAATAGCATATGATCTCACATTCTCACATATATGTGTAATTTAAAACAACAACAGCAACAATAAAAAACAAGCTCATAGATATATGGAACAGATTGGTGGTTGCCAGAGGTGAGAAGTTCAGGGGTCAGCACAATGGGTAAAGGGAGTCAAAAGGTAAACTTCCAGTTATAAAATAAGTCATAGGATGTACTGTACAGCATGGTGACTACTGTATATTTAAAAGTTGCTGAGAGAGCAAATCTCAAAAGTCCACATCACAAGAAAAAATATTCTGTAACTATGTGATGTGATGGATGTTAACTAGACTTATTTTGGTGATCATTTCACAATATATATACAAATACAAAATCATCAAGTTATACACCTGAAACTAATGTCTGTTGTATGTCAATTATGCCTCAATTAAAAAAAGGTTAAATAAAAAACTGCAAATGTCACTTTAAATATTTTTTTCTTAACATGCTGTCAAGATTCCATTTCACACGAAGCTTTATACCACCAATCACTGTATTTAGTAAAAAAACTACTTTTCTAAGCTACATTCCAGAAGGGTAGGAAAGGCAACTTTTAACTTTCAACCTGTGTGCAGATGCTAAGACCTGGTGTATAAAACTCTGTGAAAGATCAGTTTCATCCCCGTACATAACCCAATCCAGCACAATTTTCAGCAATTACCATTTCAATAATGAAGTTAAAGCAGAACTGAAGAATCTTTGGAGAGGTTAGAAAAGTTTCCAAAAAGCCAAACCAATGAATAAATATTGTGTCAGGATAGTTAAGAGTCTGTCAAAAACTAGGGCTCAATGATTAGCAACCATAGCTAGCTTTTTCTATTAAGAAGGGCATGAGCTTTTCCTCAGCTAACAAGGTAATTACCAACTCTTGGTTAGTGGCTTTAGAAAACAACCAATAATGCTGCAACCTAGTATGTTAGAAACCAACGACCTGGTCTTTTGTTGGTTAAGGTAATTCTTTTTTTTTTCCCTAATGAAACATACTTTTTTTCTCCTTTGTGTGGCAGGTCACAACAATCCCTAGGTTAAGTCATACTGTATTTTGAAAATCAGATATCACGCCCCAGCTACGGTTCTGGAACTTTCCACTAGGAATATCTATGATCTTGCTGGAGAAGCTGCACTGAGGCTAGCAAGTCAATGCCATGTCTCCTTTTGCCTTGATGTGGGCCTCCCATTTGATGTGCACCTACAGAGCAAGTGTCTCTCTGCATTGCTACCCAAATGCCTTCCTTTGAAGACCCTGGCCCTTCTTATTTTCTGCCTCCGTGGGCAGGGAAAACTGCATGCCTTACCGCAGATGTTAGACGAGCGAGAATTTCATCACTGCTTTCTTCCGAGTCTTCCATTTTCTGATGAGACCTTTGAAAAACAAAGAACAATTTACTCTTAGTTGCGTTTGCTCAAATTTATCTCCCAAGTTATGGGGAACACATGGCAAATAATGGCATTATTGTTTAATACATAAGTGAAAGTACCCATGCAGATAACGTGGTGTCAAAAATGCTAGGGGACCCAGCTCTGTTGCGGCGCAACTCTTCCTTCAAAATCAATTAGCAGGAACCTCTTTACAATATACCAATTAAATCCTGAGGGTCGAGTATTTGTCTCCAAATGGTATCACAGAATAGTTCTGACACATGAGATTTACGAATATGGGCATGCACAAAGCATAAACAGATGTGAATGGAAGGCGGTTAAGTATCAAAATTCCCTCCTAGTCTAAATGGAGTACAGATTTTGAAAATCTGACACATGAATTTCCCACTACATCTGAATTTCACCTAAAACAGATTTGTTTTGAAATGGTCTATTATAGGCCTAATACTGTGACAGGAATTATGTGGAATATAATAGCAGCAGAAGCTCTTCACTCTTTTTTAAAATATCAGAGCCTATACCTGAGAAGGCTCTAAGCTCTCAAAAAAAAGAGAGAGAGAAAATGCCATAGCCCAGTTGAGAAGCCAAGAAAATTGTGCATATGCTTAATAACTAAAGAGACATACAACATATAAGATCACTTTGTTTAGGGGAATCACCTTTGTAATGGAACTCATGAAAAAATTTTCACCACACAAGTGTATACACTAATATATAAAATTATCTCTTCCTTTTTTTTTTAATTGAAGCATATTTGACACACAATATTACCTTAGTTTCAGGTGTACTAAAATTATCTACTTAAAGCAAATTTTATAAAATGACATTTTTTTCCTGTCTTGGTCAAAGAAAAAAAATTAATACCAACTGAACATATGTACTTGTTTCCCACAGCTATTCCACAGCAATCCCTTTCGACGCCTCCCGTGGACTCGGAGGGTCGCCAGTAATTGCCCCGCAGGGCAGTGTTATCAGAATGGCAGCGCTCTGATTGATTTCAATCTCCGTAACTGCAGTGGGCCGGCTCCAGCACTCGCCTGGCGGGGCAGGAGGGCTAAGGAGAAGCTCTTTAAGAAGGGAAAAGCGAGTCGGATCGATTCTGGCATCAGCTTCCTGTTTCTATGTTTTTAAAACCTTTTATAGAAAAAAAAACCCACAACAACAACCCTCTAAATCAGAGCAGTGGATGAAAAACCACTGTCTTTACAAGAACTGCATGATCTGGGTACAAAGCAGGGCTGATGTTGTCAAGTCCCATAATGACCTATGCTGCCAATCTTTTTGAAACATGAGCTAAAATCCGCCCGATAAAGACAGTGGGAACGGAGTGTTGTCACTTCCCATATTCCCCGAAAAGCATGTTACCCGGAAAATGCATATTTCAAACAATGAACTTTATTATTAAAATGATCTATTCACGAGCTTTCCATATACATGACGTTCCACCGAGAAGAGATTTGCAACCCTTTATAACCTACGCCATCCAAACAGGTGTATAGGGTTAAGCTGAGGTGACTGAACAGATGTGACAGGAAATCGAGAGCCAAACGCACTGGGTGCGAGGGCACCAGCAAGGGCTTCAGCACCCGTCTGCATCTGCAGTGAAGCAGGGGCTGGTCACACTGGCTCCTGCCTCTCAGACCCCGGCACATAGCTCAACAATGAGGTCATGGGCATGAGGTATTTCGCACCAGCACAGATTCCATCATGAACGTGTTTTCAACAAACTCCTGAAAGGAATTCTGAATTCCAAGGGAAGTTCTTGTGTATGTGACTGATAATGGCTACTTCGTGAGTAATGGCTGAGCCACTGATGGTTTACTGACAAATGATTTAGTCCCTGTTCAGGAGCAAAACTACCTTTGGTCATTCTTCCAGCCCAAAACATGCCTTGGCAAAAAAAAAAAAAAAAAAAAAAAAAAAAATTCTGAAGGAAGTATATGTAAGAAAGACAGAGATGACCTCCCAAGAGCTGTCCTGCAGCCCTCATCCCATTTTTATCACCACAACCAGAGCTCTCAAATCTTTCTCCAGCCCCCAAATCTCCCTGAGCTCACCTTGTTTTACCATCTGCCTTCAAACGGGCTCTGGGGGGCAATTCCAGGAACCTTATTTTCTAGGGGCTCCTTGAAGTCAACGTAACTTACATTGTACTCCTATTGCCTCGTGCCTCTGCGGGTTCTACGAGCGCCTCTCACGACTCAGCTCCATGGTCACCCTGTGGCCATTCCCTCTGTTTCCTTCAGTTCCCCCCTGTTAAGCCTCACTGACAACTGAAGCCTTCTCCTCTTGCACAAATTATTTTTACTATCTTCTAACCAACTTCTTTGTCTCTGGCTTCTCCTCTTGTGCCCAATCTCCTAGAGATACCAGGATTATCTTTCTAAAACTGAGACCTGGTCCTGCTTCTCTCAGAGTCCAAATCTTCAGAGATTATCCTACAGCCTACTGAAAACTCTAGAATTCAGAAATACTCTTCCTTTCCCATTCCTGTGCCCCATCCCCCCTGCACCGGCCAGCATCCGCACCTGACCGGGCGTAGAGTAAGGTCTTAGGAGCGGGTCTGATGGTAACAGGCAAACAGTAAAAGAGCTTAGAGAGAGGGGAGGATAACACCTCATCACTCCTTCCTTCCTCACCACAGTGTCCCCTCCCCAGCTCTATGCCAAAATGCCCAAAAATACCAGACTCTCTTTCCCCAATGAATGTATTTTTATGAAATAAGATAAATTCTGATTTTATGTATGTAAATACATGTCAGTGCAATCCAGTGAAGACAAAGTTCTCCCATGTCAGATCAAAACAGGTAATGAAAAAGAGCAAGGGGGAATAAAGGAAAGAATCAACTCTAATACTTGCCTAGTTTCCCATTATTACTCAAGGGGATCAGTGAACAGGAGAGGAAGAGAGAAGCTCCGTGTGGTTTGTCAGTGGTCACAGAAGAGAAGTGGAGAAACCCCGGCTGGCATCAGCAGGTAATGGCAGTGACAAGTGACATGAGACAGAAAGAGACCAGCAGTGACCCCAGGAAGGAAGACCCATCCCAGAGTGTATGTGCCAGCAGGAAGCTCTGGCCCAGCAGGCACCACAGATTTCCAAATTCCCATGGCTGCTTCTCAAGGCCCCTGCTTACCAAGAGCCCAAGGCAGGCCCAGTAATTCTCCAGCAGAAAGTCCTGAGTGCTGGTACTGTGGGCAGATGTCTTCAGTAGTTTGAGAGGTATCCTATCGGCTCTACCTTACAGGTGTATCTCCCATTTGACCCCTTCTCACCACCTCTACTACAACCACCACTATTGTCCCAGCCACCAAATCTTTTACTCAGGAGCCAGAGTGGTCTTGTTAACATGTAAGTCACATCATGATGTCCCTCCTCTGTTCAAAATCCTCAAATGACTCCCCATCTCCCTCAGTATAAAACCAAAGTCTTCACAGTCGCTGACAACTCTCCCCCCTTCACATTTGCTTCGACTTTAATGCTTCCACCTTAGACCTCTGCACCAGCTATCCCTTTAACCTAGCACTCTTCCCTCAGATAGCCACTTCACTTTTGCCTCACAGCCTTGAAGTCTCTATCGACTTCTTTCCTGACCCTTATCTACATATCCCTCATTTCCTACTTTATGTATCTTCATGAAGTTTTCTATCTTTAACCAACCTAAATCTGTTTATTTAGGAAATTGTCTGTCCTCCCCTACTAGACTGTAGCCTCTGTGGAACTAGACATTTCGGTTTTGTTCATGGTTATATCCCCAACACTTAGAACACAACCTAGTCTATAAGAGACATTCAATAAATAACTGTTGAATAAATTAACAGAGTACCTGAAACTTCAAGGAATGCTCTATGAATCACTATCCCAAGACTACCACTGCATAAGATATTAGCTTGTTATCTGTAGTCAGTTCAACTGAAGGACCCTGCTTTTACTCAAGAATGCTTTCCCTGAGCTGTTCCATCGTTCTCCCAGCTCCCTGCAGCAGTTCTGTCTTTCAGTGACCTTCTCGTCATTCAAATCCAACCATGACTTTCTTATATCAAATACCAAAGATGTGCTAACTCTGAAAGTATCTTAAATAAAGTAATAGAAGTACAAGGATCACCCCACCTTCTCATCTTCTTCTAAGAAATAACTAGTATAGATGTAGTGACAGTTTACAACCCAGCCACTTGTTTGACAATCATTTGCACAATTCATCCTGCAGCAGAAAAGAACGGTAAGTCCCCACCCTAGAACATCTCTCAGCTCTGACAGTCAAATAGTCACATAGTGTTGAGTTCCAATAAAGAACCTCAGGAGGCAGCACCCGGGGGCCATTATTTGGGCAATGGAATTCATTTGATGCCAGTCAGGCCCAGTATAATTTCTAACAACTTGGATTTACCTGGTATCCCTGCAGGGTTTCCCAGAATTCTTTTAGTGAGAATTCCTTCATGAGAATTAGTATAGTGGGTTGAGATTATTCCAATGAAGTTCTTAAAGATAAAGCTTGTCATACATTTTCTATATGAGAGACAGAACCCACACTCCTCAACCAGATTTTGGCCAAAATATTTGTGCCTTAAGATTCAAGAGCAACCAATACCATCTTGGAGTTGGAAAACCTTACTTCCTTTTTAACTGAAAGAAGTTTCATGGTACTTCAGGGTGGAAAACTGGAGGCATTTTATTATGGAAATATTATCCAAATAATACCACTTTACATTTGTATACTGATACTTCAAAAATGCACGAGTTCTGTCTGTCCATCTATGTGTCAGTACTGAATAGCGTATGTGGGCTGCCAAGAGCTACCACTATGCATAACATTGATCCTTTAAGAAAATGTGTTAAATGTCTATTTGATGGTTGTTGGGATTGCAAAGATTTGGAGTCAAGTAGTTCAAGAGGTAGAGACTGTGTATAACTGGCACAAGCCAGACCAGCTGAGTGGTTATCCATGACCTTCCAGACGTACTTATGCCAACACTACACTGAGCTGC